AAGGTGGATTATCACTTACAGTGTAATCAGTGAGGGGATTCTGGAGACTGTTGAGGGTTCAGCCTCCTGACGAGTCGGTGAAACTCCGACGAAACAGTTTGTCACAGCCCCTCGTTTGTTGTCCTCTTCTCCCTCTCTGCCTAGGGTTTACCGGACAGTTCTGTTTGACGATATGAAACGGTATTCACCACTTCGCAGTAGCTGATGCAGATCCCAGGGCTCGATCCCTAGTTCCCCACCTTACCTGTGTACAGTAATTGTGTCAACCCGTAGATTTGAACCTGCGACCTGTAGGACCGCCAGTGGTTGGTAAGATCTCGTAGGTTACAGGGTAGAAGGGATTCGAACTGTAGACCTGTCGGGTAGGAGTCTAGGCAGTCTAGAGGTCTTAGTTGTAGACTGTCCGAAGGGTCAAAGTCGTAGCTGCTACTTACCTGCAAGGGCAGAGTCGTAGCTGCTACAATACCGAAAGGCCAAAGTAGAGGTTTCTAGAAGTGGCCTTTCGGAGTCAGCCCCAGTTTAGGTAGAGGCCAGTGGGCAAGAGGTGGAAGCCCACCACGCAGAGTCAGCAGTCCCAGTCCAGTCAGTCCGGTCCAGTCAAGCAAGTACCGTCTGGGACTGTGTGCACCGTGGGCCAGGGAAGCAGGGCAGACCAACGAGGCGCAGAAGTATAAATCAAGAGGCTGCGCCCAGCCATTCATTCATTCCTGTGGAAGCCATGCGGAAGCGCTGCCTCAGCGTCTTGTGCGAGGAGGTCTGCAGTGTGCCCGAAGTCGAAGTGGGCAGAGAAGTGTAGTATAGCGATAGGGTAGTGTCAGCTAGCGCTGCCATAGCTATAGTAGTGTGTGTGTGTGTGTGATGTGAGTGTGCAGAGTGTCGAGTGTGGGATATCCAGGGTGATCCAGTGTGTGAGCAATGGATGTTGGGCGCTCAGTCGCCATAGCCAGTGGAAGTGAACTTACCTGGGAGCCATATCTCTGTGTACTGTGTGGGAGCATGTCGCTAGTTTGTTGTGCTGCTGTTCACGTGCATGAGAAGTGTGAATGAGTCGAGTCTGATTGCACTGGTATCGGAGCTGGTTCCCGCTATCCCATGCGCGCCGTCGTGTGCAGGGCTGATGAGCCATAGCTGAAGTGGCCGCTGGAAGGAGAAGTCCGCCATAGCGGACCGGAGGAGGAAGGAGCCGCCGCGCACCTGCGAGGAGACCACGACGAAGGAGAAGACTAAGAGAGAGAGAGAGAGAGAGAGAGAGAGAGAGAGAGAGAGAGAGAGAGAGAGAGAGAGAGAGAGAGAG